AGCCAAGGCACCTAATATTACCACCAAAAATTTGAAAAATGTATTGACTCTTGTATAAGCCGAGGGTGGGAAATGCAGCAGCTACTTGTAAATTTGAAAATAAAAATAGATACCAATAAAATTACATTAATTGAAGCAACAGTTTTTGAATATTTACATAACATTGTAATTTAAGATAAGACTGTCCAACCCTGATTAAACTATTATTCTAACCTTCAACAAAAATGTGATTACGTATCCTTCCAATAATAATAAAGAGAGTAAAATAATAAATGCAACAAAAATATTAATAGAGTAAAATACTGGAAATGTAATAATAGAATAAAATAATATATGTAATAATAATAATGAAGTAAAATAATAAATGTAATAATAATAAGGATAGTAAAATAATAAATGTAACAATAATAAATAGAGTAAAATAATAAATGTGACAATAATAGAGGAAAAGAAATGTAATAAAATAATAATAGAGTAAAATAATGTAAATATAATAATAATAATAATATTATAGGAAAATAATACATGTAATAATAATGAGAGTAAAATAATAAATGTAACAGTAATAAATGGAGTGAAATAATAAATGTGATAATAATAGAGAAAAATAAATGTAATAAAATAATAGAGTAAAATAATGTAAATATAATAATAATAATAAAGTAAAATAATAAATGTAATAATAAATAGTATAAAATAATAAATGTAATAATAATAAGGTAAAATAATAAATATAATAACAATAATAAATAGAATGACATAAGTGTAATAATAATAGAGTAAAATAATAAATTTAATAATAAATAAGAGTAAAATAATAAATATAATAATAGAGTAAAATAATAAGTGTAACAATATCAATAATAATAATAATTAGAGTAAAATAATAAAAGTAATAATAATAAATAGGGAAAATAATAAATGTAGCATTAATATATTAAAATAATGTAAATATTATAATAATTAATAGAGAAAACGATAAATGTCATAGGAAATAATATAGAGTAAAATAATAAATGTAACAATAATAAGAGGAAAATAATAAATGTAATAATAATAAGGTAAAATAATAAATATAATAACAATAATAAATAGAATGAAATAAGTGTAATAATAATAGAGTAAAATAAATTTAATAAAAATAAGACTAAAATAATAAATATAATAATAAATAAGAGTAAAATAATAAGGGTAATAATATCAATAATAATAATAAGTAGAGTAAAATAATAAAAGTAATAATAATAAATAGGGAAAAATAATAAATGTAATAATATATTAAAATAATGTAAATATAATAATAATTAATAGAGAAAACAATAAATGTAATAGGAAATAATAATAATGACAGAGTAAAATAATAAATAACTTTGACGTGAGTATAAGCCGAGGGGGGCATTTTCAGCCTTAAAAAAGGGCTGAAAAACCCAGCGTATACTCGAGTATATATGGTACTTTTAATAAATGAGTCAACCATAAACTGGTGTATGTTACTCTGATGGTTCACCTGGGGATACAAGGGCAGTTAAAATACTGCTGCAGGCAGCCATTAACATGCCCTTCTGTGTTTAGCCATTTCCAAACTGCCCTGTCCTGTCCCCTTCCATCTCTGGCTTGGATGAGGGTGTGCTGGAGGTCACATCATGTGGAGCAGGCGCTTGGAGACCTACTGCCCCCAGAAAACCTTTTCTGCACCGACTTGCCTGCCAGGAGATGGCTGTCATAGATTCCCAGTGCGTTGCAAAGGATCCTGGGAAACATTCCAGAGAGCACGTACAGAGTTCACTCAGGGGCACTGGCCAGGGCTGGTGGAGCCTCACCACGACCAGGCATGAACCGAGAATGCCAGCCAGGACACGCCTAGCTCTGTTCTTTCCTTGCAAAGGAGAGTTTGGTAAACTGCCCTTTGAAGGAGAGTCCTTCCAATACTAGCAAAGTCTTGGAAAAGGTCCTTTTATCTATGGAAGCCAAATTGCTCCCCATTTTAACATGTAGGAATATACAATCAAAGCACTCCTGACACTCCCAGTGCACAATCGCTGGCACTGGGACTGTGGTGCAGCTGGTTGGAAGTCAGCTGCATTAAGATCACTACTGACCAAAAGGCCATGAGTTTGAACCTGGCCCGGGTCGGAGTGAGCTTCCAACCAATTTGTGTAGCTTGCTGTTGACCTTTGCAGCCCAAAAGACAGTTGCATCTATCAAGTAGGATATTTAGGTACCACGTATGCGAGGAGGCTAATTTAACTAATTTACGACGCCATAAAAAATAATAGAATCAAAGCGTTGGAAGAGACCTCATGGGCCATCTAGTCTGACCCCCTGCCAAGAAGCAAGAATATTGCATTCAAATCACCCCTGCCTCGAGCAGACGAGAGTTCTTTCTCCCACCCTGGACATTCCTCTGAGGATGCCTGCCATAGATGTAGGTGAAACGTCAGAAGAGAATGCTTCTGGAACATGGCCATACACCTCAGAAAACACACAACAACCCTGACCTACTATACAGAATCATAGAGTTGGAAGAGACCTCATGGGCCATCCAGTACAACCCCCTGCCAAGAAGCAGGAATATTGCATTCAAAGCACCCTCAACAGATGGCCATCCAGCCTCTGTTTAAAAGCTTCCAAAGAAGGAGCCTCCACCACACTCCGGGGCAGAGAGTTCCACTGCTGAACGGCTCTCACACAGTTCTTCCTCATGTTCAGATGGAATCTCTCTTCTTGTAGTTTGACGCTATTGTTCTGCATCCTAGTCTCCAGGGAAGCTGAAAACAAGCTTGCTCCCTCCTCCCTGTGGCTTCCTCTAACATATTTATACATGGCTATCATATCTCCTCTCAGCCTTCTCTTCTTCAGGCTAAACATGCCCAGCTCCTTAAGCCGCTCCTCATAGGGCTTGTTCTCCAGACCCTTGATCATTTTAGTCACCCTCCTCTGGACACATTCCAGCTTGTTCAGAGGAGGGCGGGACAAAGAATGAGGAAGTACTCCATCAGTGTCACAAATGGATGGTGAAGCGACAGCTCCCCTGGTGGACAGAATACCCTCATGAAAAAGCTGGAATGTTAAATAGCCTCTGTGCGTCTGTCTATATATGTTGTGTGTCTATGGCATTGAATGTTCGCCATGTATATATACATTGTAATCCACCCTGAGTCCCTTGCAGGGTGAGAAGGGCAGAATATAAATACTGTAAATAAAATAAAAATAAAATAGCCTTCCAGCCCATGTTTAAAAGCCTCCAGAGAAGGGTACTCAGCCATACTTTGAAGCAATGTATTTTGGAGATAAGATTCAGTATTTTGCATAAAATCATAGAATCGTACATAGAATTGGAAGAAATAAACAATTTAAAGCAATTGAACAACAATTTAAAACAACATCAAACAACATATGTAAATATTAGACGATTATTGTGCTTAGATCCAAAGCTAGATAATCAAGTAATCATATTGATCGATCCAGGTTCAATTCCAAATGTATTGTACAGATGATTATACTGGGCCAAATGTTTGCTCCCAAAGCCAAGTTTTTACTTGTTGTGAAATGACAGGAGGGAAAGGGCCGATCAAATCACACTAGGGAGGGAGTTCCACAGCCAAGGGACCACCACTAAGAAGGCCATGTCTCTCATCTCCACCAGTCATGCCTGCGAAGATGGTGGGAACGAGAGCAGGGCCTCCTCAAAAGATCTTAACTTCCACAATGGTTCAAACAGGAGATGCGTTCGGACAGGTAAATAGGGCTGACGTCATTCAGGGCTTTATAGGCCAGAGCCAGCGCTTTGAATTGTGCTTGGTAGCAAACCAGCAGCCATTGGAGCTGGCACAACAGCTAGGTTGTGTGTTCCCTATACCCTACTCCCATCTGGCAGCTGCACGTTGGACTACTTGAAACTTCCAAACAGTCTTCAAAGGCAACCCCATGTAGAGTGCATTGCAGTAGTGTATACGAGATGTAACTAGCGTTTGGACCACTGTGGCCAAATCTGACTTTCCAATAGATTTTGTATAATCATCATCATCATCATCATCTTCATTTATATTCCACTCTATCTCCCCATGGGGATATACAAGAGTTGAATGAAAAGTAATGCCTCCACCATCATAACTCTTCAACAGATGGCAGTACTGGTATGCTGCAGGTACTGGCTTGTTCAGTAAACTCTCCTCTACAGTTCCATTTGGGCGGGAAGTCTTAGCATTGAACAGTTGTGTTGTTAAAGTGTGAAGGATGGAACCCTGTGCAGACGGTCAGTCAATGCGACTTAAGCAACGTGCAGTCATTGAATTCTTGACAGCAGAAGGTGTCACCCCAAAGGAGATTCATCAGAGAATGCAAGCTGTTTATGGTGATTGTATTGATGTGAGTACTGTGCATCGTTGGGCGAGTAAGTTTAAAGATGTTGAGGTGGGAACATCTGACTTGTGTGACAAACAAAGAGTTGGACGTCCTGAGTCAGCAACCACTGAGTTTCACAAGCAAAAGATTGATTCAGGACGGTCGTCATATCACTCAGAGAGAAATTTCAAGTATAATCGGCATTTCACAAGAACGTGTAGGTCACATTATTGTTTTGCTTGGCTATTGGAATATCTGTGCACGATGGGTACTCAGGATAAGAGAACTGTGAGATGCTGGTTGCGGAAACAGAGTGTCGACTTCTTCCATAATGGCTTCAGAAAACTTGTTCATTGTTGGTAGAAATGTATCCAATTGTCTGGTGATTATGTGGAAAAGTGAATAGTGGTAGTTAAAGAGCATGTTATAAGGATTATTTCTGTGTTTGATTTATTAAAATATTCCTATCCAAAGTAACGAAGGTAGAGGCAATTCTTTTTATTCGGTCCTCGTAAATATGGTGTTAGTTTCTGGCATATTGGGTAACATTTTTTTACTGGTTCATCCCATCCTGTGGCATAAGAAGTACTGCTTTGGAAGATATGCCTTGCATTGCTGCACCGCTAACTGTTTTCCTTTTCCTTTTCTCTTTGCAGGTAGCTGTATTCGGTTGGGTGGCAGGCAGACCCAAGGGGCACCATGAAGATTTTGGGGCCCCTGGAGAGCCAGAGGTTGTCTCTCCTCCTGGAGATGGCAATCTCTAGAGAAGCTCAGATGTGGAAAGTACACGTGCCCAAAATTCAGGCTAATCAGGTAAAGTTTGTTCATGACGCTGAGTTGTTTTCCGGGGTGCATCTACACTGTAGAATTAATGCAGGTTGAGACTGCTTTCATGACCATGGCTCAATGCTATGGAATCATGCGAGTTGTAGTTTTGCGTGGTCAAAATAGAACTGCAACTTCCAGCATTCCATAGCATCGAGCCATTGCAATTAAAGTGGTACCAAACTGTGTTAAGTCTACAGTGTAGCTGATTTAAGCAATGTGAAACACTTTTGTTGTACTTATGGATTTCCATCTCACGTCTCAGCAAAGAGCTGGACCTGTTCAGTCAAAGTTCAAGAGTTTATGTTGAGAAGGGAGCTAGCCTTATAGCTTGACTGGATGAGTAATGTTTATTTTGAGGAGCCTGTGTGCAAAATCTGAAGAACAGACTGTGCTGTCCTTGCTACGGCTGTCAAACAACTGCTAGGAAAGGGCCCCTGTGCAGCCGCTTCATGCAAATCGACTCCATCATTCTAGTATATACGCTTGGATGGTCTGCAACTACTTTGGGATGTACTTTCCACTTAGGCTTAATCTCCATTACATCACTGCGCACTCTTCCCTGATGGAGAGTTCAAGTATTCAATGCTAGGAAGTAGGTATCTCTTATAACTAAAATGGTGTGGCCACCACAAATACGAGTTTGGGGCCATTTGTAATAATTGCAAATATTTTAGAATATTTAGGTGCAGTATTCCAAAGCTCAATGGCGTTGTTTGCGGCTTCTTCCTTTAGTTTTCTTAGTTCAGTGGTTCCCAACCTTTTTTTGATCAGGGACCAGGTTTTTTTTTGTTAGCACGAACCACAAGGTTCAAGAATAATAAACTGTTACAGCAATCTAAAAATAAATTAATTAAAAAATAAAATAAAATAATTTTAAAATTAATATATTAATATTAACATGAATTAACAGTACAATTATAATATTTAAAAAGAGCATTTTAAATAGAAAATTAAATTCAGTTTGTGATTTTTGAGCTTGCACCTTCTTTACAAGTTGGGTGATCCTGAGGATAATAATTATTACTCAAGGAAGCAGGAAGGAGGGAGAAAGGAAGGGGGAGGGAAGGAAGGAAGAAAGGACCAAGGGAGAAGAGCAAGAAGGAATGGAGGGCTGGAGGGAAGAAAGGAAACAAATGGGGGAGGAAGGAGGGAGAGGAGGAAGGAAAAAAAGAAGGAAGGAGGGATGCAAGGAAGAAAGGGATGGGACTGAGGGAGGAAGGAAGGGAGAGAGAGGAAGGAAAGAAGGAAGGGAATAAGGAGAGAAGGAGAGAGGCAAGGAAGAAAGGGAGGAAGTGAAAAGGGAGGAAAGGGAGGGAGGGAAGGAGGAGGGAAGAGCAAGAAGAGGGAGAAGAAGGAGAGGAAAGGGAGAGGAAGACTGAGTAAAGGGATGGAAGGAAGGAGAGAAGGAAGGAAGGAAGGAAGGAAGAAAAGAAAGAAGAAGGGATGCAAGGAAGAAAGGGGGAAGGGATGGGACTGAGGAAGGAAGGAAGGGAGAGAGAGAGAGGAAGGGAAGGAAGGCAAGAAGGAGGGAGAGAAGGAATAAAAGAAGGAAGGAGGGAGGCAATGAAGAAAGGGAGGAAGGGAGGGAGGGAGAGAGGGAAGGAGGGAGGGAAGGAGCAAAGAGGGAAGGAGAGAAGCAGGGAGGGAGCAAGGGAGAGGAAGAGATGGTACCAAGGGATGGAAGGAGGGAGAGAGAGAGAAGGAAGGAGGAAGAAAAAAGGAAGGAAAGGAGGAAGGAAGGAAGAAAATAAGGAAGGAGGGATGCAAGGAAGAAAGGGAGGAAGGGATGGGACTGAGGGAGGAAGGAAGGGAGAGAGCGAGGAACGGTAGGGAGCACGGAAAGAAGGAGGGAGAGAAGGAAGAAAAGAAGGAAGGAGGGAGGCAAGGAAGAAAGGGAGGAAGTAATGGGACTGAGCAAGGGAGTGAGGGAAGGAGGAAGGAAAGGAGCAAAGAGAGAAGGAGGGAAGCAGGGAGGGGGCAAGGAAGAGAGAGAGAGATGAAAGGATAGTACCAAGGGATGGAAGGAAGGAGAGAGAGAGGGAGAGAAGGAGGAAGAAAAGAAGCAAGGAAGGAAGAAAGAAAAAATGGAAGGAGGGAGGGAAAAGAGTGCAAGGGAGGATATGGGGCCAAGGAAGGAAGGAGGGAGAGAGAGAAAGAAGGAAGGAGAGAGGGTAGGAAGGAAATAAAGAAAGCAAAAAGGAGGGAGGGAAGCAGGCTCCGGGGACTTCCTGAGGCCGGCCTTTTCCGTCTTAGGCATTTTGTGGAAGAGACGCGCCATAAGTTCAGGCAGGAAAACGCAAAGAATTCCTCCTCCTCTTCCTATTTTTCTCTGCTCCTCCTTTCTGCTTTTCCCCCTTCCAGTTTTTCTTAGTGCGGAGCTCTAAAAGTCAGCCATGGCAAACCAGGATACTTTTTGCTTTGACAACACAGGTTGTATCGCACTGTGAAATTGAACTGCCCTGGCTCAATGCGATGGCATCCTAGGAGTTGTATTTTACAAGGTCTTTGCTATTTTAGTTCTCGCAGACCACTGGTGGTCCAGGTTGTGAACCACTGACTTAGATGGAACAAACCAAAATGTGGAAGATGGAAGTTGATCCACTGTCAGACAATACAATAAACAAACTCACATTACAGTGTGATCAAGGAGTGCATCAGTCATAATCGTGCAACTTAAGTTCCTCGCAGTTTCCTCGCTTGTGTCATGCGAATGCATCTATTGGAAATATGTATGTATGTATGTATGTATATGCAGGGCAAGTTGACAGCATTGTAAGCAATGAGGCCAGAAGGAAATGATGATCAAAAAAGCCCCCAAATGGTAGACATCATGTGCACGTTCTAGTGTGTTTGGTGTTTGTTTGCGTTTTGTCTTTGCAGTTGTTTGATCAGGTTGTTGTAGCCTTCTGCTTGTTTTCTTTTGTTACGAGTCGAGTCCTTCATGGCGTCATATTTGTGTAAGCTGATCAGTTTGGGTTTTCAGTTGGCTAAGTGCCAAGTGCACACAGAGAAATACAATTGTGGGTGGGAATATCTGGGCTCACCACAGAGAACCTGCTTCAAAACCATGGAAACAGCCTTTGCAAAGGACTCTCTCGCGTCCCTAGGAATCATGCAAGGCTTGGCTTTGTGTTTCCACTTAACTCTATACTCCCAGTTTGCATTCAAGAGTCATCGCGTCAGTCATTTGTTTTGTAGCAGAGGAATTTGGTTTTGTTAATTGGGGTTTCTTTCTTTGTAAGACAAGCAGGTGCCTTTTCAATGGGCCAGTTTTGCCAATGGAGGATTTTTGAGTTGCATAGAATTCTTCCCGTTTGCTCACTGCAGTTCCCCACCAACCCATTTAATCCAAGAGAAAGACTTTGATGGAGACGAAGAGCTCTTACACCATCTGCTCAATGGGCTGTCTAGCACAACATTGTTGGAGAACACCTGCCTGTTCTCTTGACCATAGTCTCTTGATTCTGAATCAGAATGGGCTTTTGTAGTCCTTTCCTTCCCTCTATCCAGTGGTTCCCAACCTTTTTTTGACCAAGACCCACTTTGACCAGAGCCCACTTGACCAGAGACCACTTTGACCCGGGACCACTTTGACCAGGGTCAACTTGACCAGAGCCCACTTTGACCAGGGACCACTTGACCAGGGCCTAGTTTGATCAGGGCCTAGCTTGATCAAGGATGATTAGAATGGGGACCATTTGACTGGGGACCATAGATGTTTCTTAGTTTCAGTCCCAGGAACCTTTTAATTGGAGATGGGTGGCATGGAGCATCAGATTTGGCAGTTTCAAATCCTAGCCTCCATCCTTCCAGGATCTTTGTTCAGGGATTTTGATTTCAGCTCTGATTCTGGATCAGAAAGAATCCCCATTTTGAATAAAGATTTGCCTTTTCTAACCAGCTTGATCAGCATCAGTGCTGGGAAACTACTTGTGTTTATTTTTAACATAGTGTTTCCAGTGGATTAGCTTTCCATTTTCAAAATTGCATTGCTGGTATTGATCCAGATGTGACTTTTAGAAGCTGCAATTCTGGTAAATTACTTTGACCTGATAAGCGATATAGGCTGTCCGTCTGTCTGAGCATAATAGTGCTGGTTGGGAGCCTTGAGTGCTTCTTGTGGCTCAGAATGAGGAGTGGGATGCAGACAATTGGACACAAGGGAATATGAATGCCAAATACATGTCTACAAAGTAAAATATGAGTTTTGGGGTACGAGATAATTCTGAATGTGGAATTGTGATATAAATAGTTCCTTTTAGTACCGATGCACATGCAAATACATTCCAAGGGATTCTGGATTTCTGCTGAAACATTGGCTGGATGTGATTTGTTAAGTTGTTGAGATCTTACGTCAAGCCAAAAGTCAGCCAACTCTTTGCTTCATTTGGAAAAATGCTGCACTCGCAGAGCTCAGGCGGTGTTGTATTTCAGTGTCAGTGTTGACTTTTGTGGAGAGGTGGCTGCCAAGGTAGCGGAAATGGTCAACATTTTCTAATGTTACAACATTAAGCCGTATTTCTGGCATTGCAGATGAGTTGGTTGATAACTGTTGGCAGAGCACTTTGGTTTTCTTTATGTTCGGTGCCAGGCCGAGCTTCTCGTATGTTTCTTTAGTTTACATTCCTTATCAATCCCCTTTTCCTCTCCCTTACGACGCCATTAAGTTGTAAGACACAGGGTAGGCCTAAGGGGCTTCACCATAGAAACAGATTATATAAAGGGTTCTGTGACTCGGAAAGGTTGGGAACCACTGCTCTAGGGTATTTAAGCTATAGGGGACCTACAGTAGGGGTGAGGAAAATTCAGCCCTGGGAAAACCTATATCACTCTTCAGAAGGAGTGATGGTCCCCTAGGCTGTTTTTAAAACTTTAGCTCTTCCCAATTACTGTTTTTCTGATAACTCTATGTTTAAACACTGTGTTCTGGATTGTAAATGTCATTTCCTAATGAGTTCTGTCATAAAAACACGAAAAAAGTTTAT